GGGGAGCAGGTCCAGGCAGAAGGAAGCCGTGTGGAGCATGGGTGTATTAGTCAGGGCTCTCTAGAGTCACAGAACTTATGGGTAGTCTCTATATAGTAAGGGAATTTGTTGATGATTTACAGTCTATAGTCCAACTCCCCAACAATGGTCAGCTATGAATGGAAGTCCAAGGATCTAGTACTTACTCAGTCCTCCAAGCAGGCAGGAGAAGACTCAATCTTCCTTCTTCCAATGTCCTTATGTAGGTTTCCAACAGAAGGTGTGGCCCAGGTTAAAGGTATGTACCACCACACCTGGATCTGGGACTTGCTTTGTCCCAGATGACCTTGAACTCATCGATCTCCTTGTCTTAGTCTCCTGGGATTCATAGGCACTATGCCTCAAGATCTCCGTGCCAAGATCCAGGTCAGAAACGTGTATCTCCCAGTCTCAAGATCTGGATCACAAGTGAGCCCTCCAATTCTGAACTGTAGTTCATTCCAGATACAGTCAAGTTGACAGCCAGGAGTAGCCATTAGGATGGGTAAGAACATTAAGAGATGTGGAAGAGAGTGTCTGTGAGGACAGTGAGGACAGGAAAGGCCTCTCAGTCTTGGGAAAGAAGCAGCTGAAAAGCAGTGTCTCAAGTGGTGAAGCTGCATATCTCCAAAGGCCACGAATCCCTGTGTTGGGATGAGAGGGCCAGTGTGGGGCTGGGGGTGTAGTTCCGTGGTAAATGGGGGACAAGGGGACCACTGTGAGGCAGCAGAGGGACAGAAAGAAAGCAAGTCAAGAAGAGGTCAGGTAGACTGAAAAGGAGTTCAGGTTTGCTTCTAAGGACCTGTAGGGCATTAGAAGACTGAATACTAGCCGGGCAGTGGTGGCTCACGGCTTTAATCCCAGCACTTGGGAGGCAGAGGCAGGCGAATTTCTGAGTTCAAGGCCAGCCTGGTCTACAGAGTGAGTTCCAGGACAGCTAGGGCTACACCGAGAAACCTTGTCTCCAAAAAACAAAACAAAAGACTGAAAAAGACTTAAAGCAGTAGGGCAGAGAGTGGGAGACCACCAGGAGCCTCTGGCTGTTACAGAGCTAAGGGAGGAGATCAGGACCAACTACAGGATGGGTTTTCTGTTTTGTTTAGTTTTTTGCTCTTTGAGACAATACCTCATGAGCTGGATAAGAACTCACTATGTAGGGCTAGAGACAAGACTCAGTGGTTAGGAACACTGGTTGCTCTTCCAGAGGTCCCGGGTTTCATTCTTAGCACCCATATGACAGCTCACAACTGTCTATAATCTAAGTTCCAAGAGGTCTAACACCCTCACCTAGACTAATATGTAGACAAAACACCAGTGCACTAAAACTGAAAAGCAACAACAAAACCAAAAACAACCTCACTGTGTAGCCCAGGCTAGTCTCAAACTTATAACACTGTTTGCCTCACCCTACCCAGGTATTGGGATTATAGAGGCATTTCAAATACATTTACAGGGGCTGGAGAAGATTGTACATCAAAACCAAAATCAAATAGATACACTGAACACATTCAAATCTCAATCTTCCCTTCAAAACTACTGCCTGAGGTCATCTGGTGAGTCTGCCCTGGTAGGTGCATACACCATTATGTGCATACAGACTCTCCCCAGTAGACGCTACTTCAAAACTGTTGCCTCCTCCATTGGTCAACCTCCTTCACTCAAACAGAATCCTCTCCTAATCGAAATTGGCTAACTCCAGAATGATGAAGGGTGGGACAAATCCAGACCAGGCATTGAGCATCTACCCTTGTGTTTTGTGTTTGGTTTGGGTTACTAGAGAAAGAAGCTAGCAACTCACTGTGTAACTCGGGCTGACCTTGAACTTGTGATCTCTGTGCCTCTCTCTAGTAGCAGAGGTTGCAGGAGCTGGGCTACCAGGCTAGGCCCAAGCAACTTTCTTTTTCTTTCCTTTGCTTTTTTTCTGTTTTGATTTTTCAAGGGACAGGGTTCTCTGTGTAGCCTTGGCTATCCTGGAACTTGCTATGTAGACCAGGCTAGCCTTGAACTCAGGGAGAACTGCCTACTTCTGCCTCTCCGGGGCTTAAAACACCACCAGTGAAGTACATTCTTAGTATGCACCAGACACTGGGTTTGATCCCAGTAACACAAAACCAAATCAAAGCCCAAATATACTAACACCTCTTCAATTCCTAAGAAACAGCATTTAGTGAATTAAAAAAGAAAAAAGGTGTAATTTAGAATTATGTATGTATAATAAATCATGAAGGTAAAGGAGGAAAATTAATAGAAAAATATTGGCTGGAAATATATCAGTTATAAATAGAAATCCATGCTGTGTTTTTCCACCCTTTGTGAGCATTTGGTTACAGGAGGATGATTAAGTGGGGTGGGGATCTTGTACATCACTTTCCTCTGAAAGCCGACAGTCATCGTATTTCCTTGTTTTGTTGTTCCCTTCATTCCAGCAATATAATAAAGAAATACAACTACAGTTGTTGCTCATCAGTGTTTTCCGCACAAGCTCCATTTACTGCCTTCCAGCTCCATTTAGTCCCCGGCTTCAGAAAGGACTCTGTCTCAGCAGAAGCAGCTCTCAGGTGCTGAACCCAGGGGCTGCCCCCTTTCCCTTCCAGAACTTTTTGCAGCTCTGATGTTGCTGGCACCATCTCCTCTTGGGATCATCCAGTGTGTTCTGTGGAATTCCTTTCTCCCTCTGTACAATAATCCAGCCTTCCCAGGCACTCAGGCTTCCCAGGCGCTCAGGATGGCTGCTCAGAGTTCCTTCAGGTTTGATGTTCTCTAAGCTTGGGCACCTGGCTTCCATATGCTCATTCTTTCTGGGTGACTTCATCTGCTTTTGGCTTTGATGGTCCTGTCTCTCTCTACATGACAGATCAAATATCCCAGATACAGAGTCAATCTTGAAAATAAGCAAACAAGGGGCTGGAGAGATGGCTCAGCTGGTAAGAGCTGGTATGGTGTCTCATAACCATCTGTAATGGAATCCAATGCCCTCTTCTGGTGTGTCTGAAGACCGCTACGGTGTACTCACATACATTAAGTAAATAAATAAATCTTTAAAAAAAACAAACAAAAGTCTAGGGGCTGGCAATATAGCTCAATTGCTAAAATACTTGGCTAGCATTTGCAAAGCCCTGGGTTCCATCCCCGCTCCACAGAACCTGGGCATGGTGATGGTGATCTGTAATCTAGCCCTTGGGAGGCAGAAGCAGGAGGAGTAGGAATTCAAGGCCATCACCCACTGTATCGCTGGTCTAACAAAACACCCAGACTTAACATAGTACAGTCTTCTTATCAGGTCCTGGTGACAGTCTTGAGTGGAACAACTAACAGTTTTATAGGTGAAGACAGCAGGGTTAAGGGAGCTGTGACTTGGTCATGGTCCCAAGGATGGTAACACCAACTACTATCTCTGGAATTCCAGCTGTCACACACACACACACACACACACACACACACGCACACTTATTTCTGCTGCTCTATGTGATTCCTGTCTTTTGTGGGAAAGCATAAGATCTTCTTTCTTATTTATAACTGTATGTGTGTTAGTTTATGTGAATGAAGTATCACCAGAGGACAGAAAAGGAGTTAGATCTCCTAGAGCTAAGAGTTACAGGTAGGGCTGGAGAGATGGCTCAGCGGTTAAGAGCACTCACTGCTCTTCCAGAGGTCCTGAGTTAAATTCCCAGCAACCACATGGTGGCTCACAACCATCTGTAATGGGAATCCGATGCCCTCTTCTGGTGTATCTGAAGACAGCAACAGTGTACTCATATACATAAATAAATCTTTAAAAAAAAAAAAAAGAGTTACATGTAATAACGAGCCAGCCCACATGAGTGCAAGGAACCCAACTCATGCCCTCATCAAGAACAGTACACACCTTAATTGCTGAGCCATCTCTCCAGCCCCCAGTGATTCTTTTCCTGCTTGCTCTCAAATATAGCTTTTTTAAAATCACATTTAGTGTGTGTGTTGGTTCTCCTTCCACTATGTAGGTTCGAGCGGTGGAATTCAGGTCGTCAGGAGCCTGTACCCGACGAGCCGTCTCTATACATACACAGCCTACAACCTGCCCTTTGGAAGTAAAGAAGACAGATACAATGTATATAGGAAGCAAGATGGGGAAATAATTCTTCCGGGTCTTCCTCATGTAGTCTACCTACTGACCTATTTCCCTCTTCACTCCCCTCATCTCTACTTTTTGCTTTTTCTGAGACAAGGTCTTGGCTAGCCTAGAACCCACTATGTAGATCAGGCTAGACAGGAATTCTGCTGGAATTAAAGGCGTGTATTACCATGTACCGACGTTCCTGTTTAGCCTATTAAGATGAGAATGAAAGAGTAAGATTGCTGTGAGGCTTTTATAAACCCAAAGCATCTTCCCCAAGGCCTGGCCACATTGTCTCAAAGCTTGTCAGTTACGATTCCCGACCTCAACTTGCCCAAGTACTTTTCAAGTATCATTTCATTGTATATGAGCGACATACACCTTTTGGGAAATAAGTGGCTTAGAGTTGTCAAGTCGCTGCACGGTTGTTCAAGGAAATTCAAACTTGAACCCAGAACCCGCACAAGCAGGAAAACCTGTGCAAAGAGCCATGGTTTGGACTCAGGAAGGGGTTACTATCATTGCTCGGGTACATCTTTTGATTCCACATTGGTCCCGAATAAACTGTAAGCGGCAACAAAGAGGATTTGGGGAAAGAAAAGCCCTAGCCCTCCACAAGAGTCAAGGCGAGTTGATCTTTGCATCTATCTTATTCAGTCCCTGGGATCTCCCGCGACTTCTCCAACACCGCCTTTCAAGGGCCGAAGGCCTAAGCTCTCGGGCTCCCTAAATCACTCGGCTGAGGCGTGTATCCCCCGCGCGGCCCACAATAAGGACGCGTCCCCTTTAAGGCCCCAGCTCGCCCGCGGCGGCGGCCGGAAGTGCTGGAGCCCGGCTTGGCGGCGGCGGTGGCGGCGGCAGCCGTGGCGGCTTGTGCGCATGCTCCGTCGCCCGCCCGCCCTGGCCGCTCGCCGCCCGCCCGCCCGACGGAGACGGTGAGGAGGGGGAGG